GAAATTAGAGACAACAATTAGTATAAGACTAATCACCTTCTTTAATTTAGAATAGAAACCAAAGATATCAAATTAAGAATTAATCTTACCACTTAAAAAATCGTTCTTATAAAGTTGTAAGATAAATCCATAGTCACCACACACAAAGGTGTAAAGAAGAGAAACCTCTCAAATAATATTAAGCATGTATGTCTGTCTCTTAAAATAATAAAATCAACCCCTATATATAGGGAAAACCTATCCCAAATAGAATAGGATTTAAATCCTACTTTTATGAAAACTTTAAACTAGGTAACTTTTAAATTAGGAAACTTTAAACTAGGAAAACAGGAAAACTTTAAACTAGGAAACTTTTTAAACTAGGAAAATTTTAAACTAGGAAACTTTTAAAGTAAGAACTTTTGACTTTAAGCATTCAACTTTTTGGACTCTTTTATTGGGCATCACGTGACCCAATCTTCTTTCTTTTGGGCTTGAATTTGGACATCTCTTTCGTGATAAACATATTCTCGATTTTGTATTTAAGCATGTCAACTTTAGTACAAGTAGGCTGATATGCATGCTATCATTCCCCTCTTCTTGAAAACAATTTGTCTTCGAATTTAAATCTCTCAAAATCAAGACGACATGAATTAGCAAATAACATCCATTACTCGAATGCAACAATGGTAGGAACAAAATAAGATAGTGACCATGTGTCCACTTAACCCAATTAATCCTGACATGTATAAATACACCCTTATAAAGCATGTGAACATCATCATCCCAATAGAAAATTCTCCTACTTATATAAACACAACGAACTCCTTGTCTAGATGACATTGTGAATGATACATCCAACTTCAATTTAGCTCTATCAATAAAGTTCTCCAACGGGCATGACAAAGACAATATAAAATTCCTATCAAATTGAACACTTTTGTGATATAGCCAAGCATCTTCAATTATACCTCCCAAAGATTCTTCCACATAAATAGTAGTCACCCATTCTTCAATATACATTGTATCCAAATAAGCATTGAAGTGCTCATAATCATGTACCTCATCATCACTAGTAGCAAATACCCTTTTCAACTCACAATAACCAACACTTGAAGAATTATGACTCATTACATATATAGAATCATATTCCAACAAGTTATCACACAAAAACACTTGAACAAGAGAGGAAGAATCCTCAAACTTATTCACAAGCTCTCTCCCACAAACATCACGCCTCTTTTTAACAAGTGAGAAACCATAATCAACTATATCATTCTCAATTTTAAAAGAGTTCACATTACTCTTATTGAACTTGGCGATTGAAGTTAGTGACTTGTTATATAACAAAATATCATTATCATCAAAATCAATGCAGTTACCAACATAAGAATTATGAGTATAGTTCATTACCTCCAAGAAGACTTTAGGTGTTTTAGGAATACCAAGAATGTGAATCAACCAATTATACATACCATACTTGGTCTTATGTAGCAAATGAATAACATCACCTCGTTTTTCCTTTCTCATTGGTGGTAGATTCACAATTACCTTGTTGAACTTTTTGTTATGAGCCTTATCTTGGACAGATCCAAAATAATTATTTTTACCTTTGTCGTTCTCATCAACATACACTTTCTCAATATGACTTGTAGTATCAACCACTTTAGGATTAAGTACATCCAAGGACTTTGGTTTTTCAATGCATACTTTCCCATGAGTATCTACGAGAGAGTCAAAACAACTAGAAGAAGAAGTAGGAATGCTAGAGTTAGAATAAGAAATAACCTTAATCAAACTCTCTTGTTTTTCTCTCTCGACCTCACTATCATCCTTTTTTTTTCTCATGGTCGTCTCTCTTTTCTTTTTTCTCATTCTCATTTTTTTTCTCACTTGACATACCATTCTCTTCACACAACACACCCTCTCCTTTTTCCTCTCTTGGAAAGTCAGAATGATCTCCCTTTCTCCTCTCAATCTTTTCTCTCTCAAATTTCTTCATTGCCTCTTTCACTCGTTTCTAATCTTCATAAACTTGGGTTGGAGTTAAAGGTGCAAGTGTATATTTTATTTTGTTTAGCTCAAGAGAAACTCTATTTTTCTCCTATCATAAAATTGCCTTCCTATTAAATTGTCATGGCCGCCCAAGCATGATGTGACAATCTTGGATTGGAATGACATCACAATGAATATTATCGAAATATCTCCCAATAGAGAAAGAAATCATGCATTGCTTAGTCACCTTAAGCTCACCAAAATCATTCAACCATTGTCTCTTATAAGGAGTAGTGTGTTTAATGCATGTAAGTTTCAACTTCTCCACAACGTATGAACTTACCACATTAGTACCACTTTCACTATCAATAATCATAGAGCAAATGTTAACATTTATCCCACACCTTGTATGGAAAATAGTTTCTCTCCTTAAATTAGCTATGGTGACATTCTTCTCCTTCAACCGTTTGATCAACACATCAACACAATTAATGTCGTTTTGAGTTCTAGCTTCATTTTTCTTACCTTTTTTAAATATCTCAAAATTACTACCTTTGGATGGATCCTTCAGAATTTATATATAAACCTTATTAGTAACAACCTTTTAGAAATAAGATGTAGAAAGAAAGGAATTTATCAATACCCAGATAAATTGGGATTGATGGGACAAGAAAAAAGACCACTTTTTAAAGCAAGAAAAAAAACTTCAAAAGTTCCTCTCTTCTTGATTTTCCTTTTTGAAGTAGAAAATCAAGAATCTAAACAAATATGGAGTTTTCTGAAATAAGTAATGGAATTTTCTTTTTCTTTTTTTTTTGTAATATTTTTTTTTGCTGAACTTTTAAGCAACTAGAAAAGATATTTTTTTTTGAAACTCCCAAGATTATCAACAACAGAACCTTGATAGAACCGCTCTGACACCACTTGATAAGAATTGGGATACCAGAATAAATAAGAAAATTATGCGGAAGCAAAATTATAAAGATTAAAGACATAAATTGAAAGATATGCGAAATTCAAGAATAAAATCCCCAATTTCAAGATAAAGTGCTAAGAACCCTAATTGATCTTAGTATTCAAAATTAGTGGATTAAGACTAATTATGATAGTAATAGAGTGAATTCAAGAACTTAGATTAAAAGTGATCTAGACCCCTATTACGAAAAAATAGTGACAACAATTAGTATAAGACTAATCACCTTCTTTAATTTAGAATAGAAACCAAAGATATCAAATTAAGAATTAATCATACCTCTTAAAGAATCGTTCTTATTAGGTTGTAAGATAAATTCATAGTCACCACACACAAATGTGTAAAGAAGAGAAACCTCACAGATAATATTAATTATGTTTGTCTGTCTCTTAAAATAATAAAATCAACCCCTATATATAGAGAAAACCTATCTCAGATAGAATATGATTTAAATCCTACTTTTATGGAAACTTTAAATTAGGAAAACTTTAAACTATATAACTTTTAAACTAGGAAAACAGGATAACTTTAAACTAGGAAACATTTCAAACTGGAAAACTTTAAACTAGAAAACTTTTAAAATATGAACTTTTGACTTTAAGCATTCAACTTTTTGGACTCTTTTATTGGGCTTTGTGTGGCCCAATCTTCTTTCTTTTGTGCTTGAATTTGGACACCTCTTTTGTGATAAACATATTCTTAATTTTGTATTGAAACCCGTCAACTTTAGTACAAGTAGGTTGACATGGATACTATCAACCTCTTTTGTGCAAATAGAGAATCAAAAGGAATTTCAAGTTAAAAAAAATGGAGAAATGATTTAAAGACATATTTTATGTGAAGGTAGGATTTCTAAATTTTGTTTTATTTAACCCAACATAAATCAAGTTTTTTTTAATGAAGAAAAATTACATAAATACATAATTTAAGATATCATAATTTTTAAAATTTTCTAACATAGAAAGAATTACAAAAAAAATCCTCTCTCAGATAGAAACTCTATCCCTTCTCGGAAACATCTCTCCCCTCTCAAATACATCCCTCCCATTAGGGGTGTTCGTGGTTTGGTTTGTATCGGTTATTTGTTATGACCAAAACCAAAACAATATAGTCAGTTTTTAAATTTCTAAAATCAAACCAAACCAAACGAATAAATAACCGTCGGTTTGGTTCAATTTTTTTGTTTTTTTTTTGAAATTTGAAAGTAATATGTTTTTCATTTGAAAGTAATTTTTTTAGGTCATACGTGTCTCGATAGACACAAACACCTAGTTCATGAACAATCCACCGAAAAGCTACTGTGGATTCAATTAAGAAATTAAGTAATACTAGAGTTATTATTATTATTTATTTATTTTGGTTTCTGACCCGGTGTTTGGTACCCACATTGGAGCCTAGCTAAATTCAGATTCGCGTCGAGAAGTCCCACATTAGGGGGTAAAAGCGTTCCCTAACAAAGGCGACTCCGTAGCCAAGGAACTCGAACCCGAGACCTCTTTGTTAAAGATGAAGGAGTACTTACCATTCCACCACAACCCTTGTTATCTGAGATAGGGTAGGTAAAGACTAAAAATATGAATTTTGATGGACTTGGACTTAGGGTTGTAACAGTTCGATTAAAATTTGAGTGTTGGATTTGTGAAAATGATATTAAAGACTTAAGTTAATAAAAATTTAAAAAAATATTTATATTTTATTTATAAATAATTATAAAATTTATATATCTAATTCTTGGTTCAGTTTGATTATTTTTGTGGTTTATTTTGCATAAAATCAAAACTAAACTAAATAGTATGATTTTCAAAATTTAAAACCAAACCTAACCAAACCAAATATCATTTTTTTAATCTATTTGTTTTTTTAACCTTATAAACAACCCTACCTCCCATTAAATAATGTATAATTTGTAATATATGAGACACGTAAAAAAATTGCATGTGATAGCAATGAAAATCGAGAATTTTTGTATGCAATTATTAAATTTCTGTGAAATGTCCTTAAATAAATAAAAAAAAAGGTCATTAATTTCAACCCAAAACCCATGAATAATTTTTTCTTTAATTGAGAGGGGAGGTGTCTTTTTTTAACACTACACTTGCCCGTCTTCCATCCTTAATCTTCCTCTAATTTGTAAACTTTGAAGAGAAAAAATGGAGAAAATGAACCAGGCATTGGAGAAGATGAAAATGTTGGTGGGAATGGATGTAGAAGATGAAGAAGTAGCTCCTCAACAAGAATCTTCCTTTGCTTTCATGGATGATTTGAATCGCAACTGCACTTTGTCGACCAAACAGGTAACCCTTATTGGGTCATTTCATTTTCTCTTCAATCTCAACTTTTTACTTGTTCTATGATCTTTGTCTTCATTGGCTACATATACTATTTATCTCTTTCTTTGCTTGTATTTTTGAGCTAAATTGCATATAAATTCATTATTGATATGAGTATGCGCAATACATACTTCAAATCGATCCCTTAAAATAACCTAAATAGCAAAAAACGTCCTTATGCATTCCTGTATCTGATATACTAGGAGTTCAGACCATAAATGCATATTCGAACTGTGAAACTATTTTGTGACTAGCTGATACGACCCATATAGATCTGTCTTGGGGAAACCTTTTTGGGGGTCCAGGTAGAAGTTCCTTGGATTTCTATTTCATAGCAAAATGTTTTAAAACACATATTCAACTTCCACATACTTCTTTTCCAAAAAGATTTCATGACAACTTTGATCAAATATTGTCTTAACAGTTCCTTTAATGAGAGATAATTTTTTTCTTGGGATTGATAACTTGACATAAGTAAACCAACTTTTTGTTGACCAGTTTCTGTTTCAGAGTAGATGTACTCTAAAGGGGTTTGTACAAGTCACTCAATGCTATTAGGTTAAAAGAACTATTGTAAGTACTTTGTGTATGATGTCTTGAATTTTGAGCTAGAACTAGCGAAATTTAGAAGAATGGAAGAAATTCTAGAAACTCCAGCAATGGTAAAATCCTGGAATTGTGCTTTTAACTCACATGACCTATCCTGTTTGGTGAAACACTACATGGTAAAGAAATATCCTTCTGGCTACTGGAATGTTACTCAAATAACATAATGGGATGGTCACTGAAAATGAGTTAGTAGAGTTTTTCTATTAGACATTCCTGCTTAGCATATTGGAAAATGGAATATACTTGTTAACTAAGCAGTCTAAAAATGCTGTAGTTAGTACACCAATATTACTGAAAATATCTCTATCTAGGGATATGAGGAGCAGGTGTTTCTGTGACTCTGTTTTAGACGACTTGATAAATAAAGCAGTTGTATTGGGGGGAACAATAACTTTTAAGTTAAGAACTCAGGAGATCGTAATCCAAATGTGGACTCATTTGTTCCCCATTTACGGTTCAAGTTTGTATGGATCCTTGAGAGAACAAAGGAGAATAAATTCGACCAATGTAGAAAGTTATATAGATGAATCTTCACAATCCTATCCCATCACCTTGAAGCTTTGTATGCTTCCCTTTCAACCTCCTTACAAGGTTCAACAATGCAAACTTTCCTGTAGGTAATTGAATAACAAACTGTTTAATGTTGAGCTCAAGAGGTTCAAGGTATCAAGAAATGATATGGTACTGCTGAATCCTGGTTTAATACTTTTATATTTATGGATGCCGATATACTTCCTTTGTCCAATTAACGTGTCATACTTTTTCATTATAGTCTGTCCAAAAGGAGTGTCATACTTCCCTATTTAGGACCAATTTAACATTTAACTTCTTTTATTTTACCCTTTTTTTAATTTATAGCCATATCCTTCTCAATTTTTTTTTATAGCCATGTAAATATCTAAAGCATTTTTTAGACTACAAGTTTCAAAAGTCAGTCTTTCTTAAACTTTGTGCCCAGTGGGATTTCACTGGGTAGTCGTTGTTGTGTATAGTTGGCATTGAAGAAAATATGCAGTGGATGTAGTTAGTAATTTCCAGTATGAGGAGGCAGGGGGTGATAGAGAGGGAGAGAGCTTTGAGTTTTTTTTTTTGTTGGATAAAGTAAGATTTCATTACAAACAATATCAAGATGATACTCAATCCTCCCCAGACCCCACTTGTGGGATTACACTACACTGGCTATGTTGTCGAATCAAGATTGTGAAAGTACTGAGAAAATGCAGGCTAGATTACATTAGAATCCTAAGCAATCTAGCATGTCCACCTTGTTATTTAAATTCATAACAACATTTCCATCTTTCCAATAGTACAGGTGGTGCAAACAACTATATTTCACAGTCTGCAACTGCTCCTTTTTGCCTTCAAAACACTTCTTATTTCATTTTTTTTTCATATAGTCCACGCTATGCTAAGATGAATAACTCTCCAGATCTTCTATAAGGATGCATCTGGACATGCAGTTTCCCAGCACTCTAACACATTCCTGAACGCCGTAGGACTTGTTTAATGAATGAAAAAGTTAGCTATGAACACAGTCCACATCTGCCAAGTAAATTTACAATGCACTAAAATGTGGTTCACAGATACACAAGTAGCCTTAGTTGCTCGGACTCGGGTGCGGGTGTCCGGTATGAGTGTGGATCTACAGGTCGCATCCTTCATGATCTACTTTTAACATTCGGGGATATGGATTCATGTAATGGATACGGGTGTGGGGATTTGCCTAAAAATAATTAAAATATCTAAAACTAGAGTTATAAAACCTAAATTATGAGATATTATGTGGAGAACTTGAGGAGAATCTTGGAAGAAGATTACAGGAAAAGGAGTGACATAGAAATTTCTATATAAAAGGTATTCCATTTTCTTCAATTTCATGTTAGTGTTTGTAGTGATAACAGAATTCATTAAAACTGCCCAGACTTTCCACATCAATTTTGGTCAAAGTACCCAAAATCGGTTGACCAAATTGGACACGGATCCTACACCCACACCCACACCCACGTCGTGTCGACAGGGGTGCGGCACCAAAAGTGAAGAGTCCGAGCAACTTAGCAAGTAGCATCTGCTGCACAGTATCCAACCCTTTTTATTCAAATTTTCGTGTGTTAGACATGCTTCATGAGAAACTAGCCAACCAAAGAAGGCAGCTTTTGTTGGGACTGTAGTCTTCCAGATCATCCTCTAGGGCGACTTTTGTACTTGCACTGGTTGAATAACAGTTAGTATTTTATAGAATGGGCTGACAGTAAAAGAACCTTTTTTACTCACTTCCCAGACTAGGCTATCGTTTCTATTTGGAATTAACCCTACTGATTGCATCTTTTGGATAAATGAATCAACTACTTGCAGTTCCTGTCAAAGAGATTCTTTCTGTACTGGAAATTCCATCATGAATCAATAAATATATCAGCTAAGAGGACTTCCGGATTATAGGTCAATCTGTACAATTTGGGAAATTGATTTTCAGCAAACCTTAACCATCTAACTATCTTCCCAAAGTCTGATCTTTTTCCCGTTGGCTACCCTCAAACAACATACTTGTTGAATCCTTCCAGAGATTGCAAATCTGTCTCTAAACAGCTACTCCATATGGAGTCTTCACTGCTTTAGGTGCCCAAAAGCCCTATCTTCCATAAATCACCTCTACCACTGCTTTCCAGGAACCTTTTTCCCATCAATTAACCTCCATAGCCATAAACATTGCAAGTTTTGATAGTGAGCTCTAAGATTTCTAACTCTCAGATCCCCTTCCTTGTGATTTGTTGCAATACTCCATTTTACTAAATGAAACTTCCTTCTTTCTGCATTACCTTACCATTGGAATCGCCTTCTGATCTTATCAATATTCTTCTCCACACTAGCTGGCATGGGGATTAGAGACATTAGATAGGTTGCAATGCCATCAAGAACACTATTTACTTATGTCAATATACCCCAAATGATAGGTATTGTTGTTTCCAAAGAGCCCACTTTTTCCATTTTACCTACTGTATTTGATACAACATGGGTTTTGATTATTTAACCAATTTTTGCATTAAGCATTGATGTGATGTATTCAGATTTTGGATGAAAACCAAAAAGTGAAAAACAGTCCAAAAATAAATGAAAATACTATAACTTAGTAATTAGAGGTAGGTAAATTAGTATGTCAATCAGAAATATTCATGTGAAATCTTAATATCAAATTGTCTGATATGATGAGCTCCTAAGTTGCTCGGACTCGGGTGCGTGTGTCCGATACGGCTGCAGATCTAGAGGACGGATCCTTCATGATCTAATTTTTAAGATTCGGAGATATGGATTCATGTATGGATACGGGTGCGGAGATTCGCCTAAAAATAATTAAAATATCTAAAAATAGAGTTGTAAAACCTAAATTATGAGATATTATGTGGAGAACTTGAGGAAAATCTTGGAAGGAGATTAAAGGAAAAGTAGTGACATAGAAATTTCTATATAAAAGATATTTTATTTTCTTCAATTTCAGCTTAGCTTTTGTATTCATTACAGTAATCATTATAACTGTCTAGACTTTTCCCATCGATTTTGGTCAAAGTACCCAAAATTGGTTGATCAAATCAGGCACGGATCCCACACCCATGTCGTGTCGACACGGTTGCGGCACCAAAAGTGAAGAGTCTGAGAAACTTAGATGAGCTCCAATATAAAGTTGATAGGATAGGGCTAAGTCAATAATCTTTACATATATTAGGATGAGCCTTGTTGAGTGAACATAAATGTATGTTATAGGGATGAGCCTTTTTGAGAGAACATAAATGTATGTTATAGTGTCAGTCACATGTGTAAATCCCCAAAGAAACATGTTTGCTTTAAGCTTTAACAGTTGGCCATCTTTGGACAATTTGGGAACCAAGTACCGGTGGTAGTAAAAAATGAAAATAAGGTATAAGACATCTTCATATCTTCCTCACATGTCATGTTGGACATTGCATTGAAGCACGTTGCAGCATTTTAAATCACAGCATTGTTTTATGATGATGTTTTACTGCTCTTTAAGTACTTTGAAGGACCTAACCATTTAATACTCATTAGACATAGCTATATATAGAAAAAATGAAGAATCCTTGTAAGATAGGCACCAAAGACGAGAGGATTCAGGACAATCTAATGGCCTTGGAAGATGATATGGAAAATTAGTGTACCTCACAAAGTGGCTTGTTTCACCTGGTTGGTAGCTAAGGAAGCAGTACTATCTCAGGACAATCTAATGAAAAGGGGGAAGGCTGTTATGCTCCAGGTGCTTTTTTAGTGAGATAGAAACAGAGACAACAAACCATCTCTTCCTCCATTGCAGAGTGACTGTGGCAGGTCTTTTGAATTTGAGGGGAATCAGCTGGTCCATGCCCATGCCAAGACACACCTCAGATTTTCTAGCATGCTGGAATAGAGAAGGGAATACATCAGATCACAATGAGAGATGGAAGATTGTCCCCGCTTGCATCTGGTGGACAATTTGGAAGGAAAGGAACCAGAGATGCTTCGGAAAGAAGAGCATCCCTTTCCAGAGTTTGAAGTTGAACTGCCTTATAAACCTTTATATTTGGTGTAAGTGTGTAACCATGTCCTCCCCAAAGAGGTGGAGGCTATTACTCACTTTTTAGATAGTTTAGGAGGGATATAGATGATAGAGCTTTTGGTTTTGCTTACTGCATACTCCTGATGTAATTACTACTGAAATACACCATTGTTGCTGTCTATTAAATGTTAACATAGAGAGGATTCACAAAGGCTGGATAAAGGGCCTGGAAATTCTCAATCCCTAATGAACGGACTTGTTAATTAACTTAATTTTATGCAGACACGTGGATTTAGTGTGTATTGACTTGTGAACGGGATTTTCTCATTATTCAGTTTTCTTTATCGGGTTTCCATATTTCCTCTCTCCTTTTAGTAAGCCACCTATATGATCAGTAATGGGCTAAAAAGAATCTACTTTGTAATGAGTACAACATGAAAAATGTTCAAGAAAATATAACACGTGCTTTTAGTGAGGTTTAACCAAGAAGAACTAACTATGGTGATCAGTGGAAATGCCCACTGTCCGTTGGTCTGTTAAATCTGCTTTATTCATCTTAGAATGTGAGGCTTCAGTACACCTACACTGAATTTTCTTGCATAAATTGAATTGGGAAACTAACTGCACTATGATATATGTAACCAGTGACCATCTATGCTCAACTTTTTTCTTTTCAACAGAGGCTTTATGGTTTTGCTATATGCTTAACAACTGGTATCGCCTGTACTCTCTTGGTGAGTTTCACTTCTCTAATTCCTTTCCTGCTTTCATTTCCGTGTCTAGTTTTTTTAGGATCTTGGAATGCATTACATGGAGTCAGCGATGCGTAACCTATTGGTTCAACTTTTTCCAGTCAAAAAGAATTTATTGCTTTATTGGTGACTGTTGAATGGGCTTTTGTCGTGTTGTAACTTATCTTTATAGATGCTTGGCTTTCAGACTTTACATGCTTGTCGCTTTCAGCTCATTAGCTAAAACAGTATTTTTTTGAGTGATTCTGCTACGTTTTGAATTGTGATGCAACTCTAACCTGGTGTTGTTATACCTAATGTGCCTACGGAGGATGCTTCACTTTCTTTATATTCTTCCTTTAAAATTGTCATAGTTTTTAGCGAGAGTGATGATTAGACGGAAAGAGATAGCTAGATTTAAGACTAGAATCTATTGTCGTATACCATTTCTTATGTTGTCTGTGGGAGCAGGATGGATTTAATTCTTGGTAGTATTGATCTAATGAAGATATCTGGATTTGGTGCTTTACAAATGTATTACAGGAGACAGGAGTAAAGGGGCCTAGCCTTTTCTTTTCCAACTTCTTCATAACAATGATGAGGAATTAAGTCCTTGACCAATGTATTTCTTGCTTTGTTGACAAATTATATTTATTTTGAAAAGTTAATATTTTGCAGTCTGAGTTTTTTTGGTCATAATTATTGGAGATATTATGTGCACTACCAATGATTTCTTGTGTACAAATTTGTTCAGAACTAATGGTTAAATTTAACTGGACATTAATCTGAAGGATTTTTTGTTGAATAACATCAGCTTATCAGCAGTCAATTTTTTTTTTTTATAGTTAGCTTATTAGTTCTTTTGTTCTTCAATGAAGTGTTCACTTGCTAACTTATTTTCTTGGTAGTGTAATTTTTTTTCTATAGTATAATCTTTTTCAGTTTTTCAGTATCAGTTTTTATAGAATAATCGCACGGTTGACATAAGATCTCATGCATATGTAATTGTTTTCTTTATGACAGTCAATGCTGGTTTTCTTCAATCCAATCAAGTTTGGAATAACATTTTCTTTTGGGAATTTGCTTGCTCTTGGAAGGTCTGTTATAACATTCTCTATTTCCATTTGTTTTGTATGATGCATGTTTTGATTTTTGTTGATAATGACATAAAATTTTATGAAATGAAGGGCGAAAAGTTCATCCTGAGCCAAGATCGAACTTCCCATCAGATTCATAGTTGCATTACTTATAGCTTCCTTGTTTGTAGACTTTGTGGATTCAACACCCATGTACAAGAAGTATATCAAAAAGTAGAAAATGTGAGCCTCTACAAACAACACCCAATGTTCTATACAAATAGGAACCTTGTGGGTGCACCAAAAAGAAATCAGATTTCAACACCCATGTACAAGAAGTTATCAAAAAGTAGAAAATCCATATAGAAAATGTGAGCTTCTACATTCAACACCCAATGTTCTATACAAAACCTTGCGGGTGCACCAAAAAGAAATCAGATAAGAGGCTATTCTTCAAGTATACCAGGTCCTTCTATATCCCATCATTCCCATCAAAAGCTTCCCTATTTTTCTCTTTCCGTACAATCTACATAAGCACTAGTGGAGCAACATCCTACATCTTCTCTCTTGTCTTGTACGGATACAAAGCAATGTTTCTTTAACCGTTCCTGACATCACCCATTCAAGTCTAGATGTCAGGAACGGTTAAGCGAATTAGTGTTGAAATCCCATCAAAGCATTTGTTATTTCCTTCTTTCCAGATGCACCAAAAAATTGCTGCTGGACTCAATCACCAGATCTTCTTGATTGATTTGTCAACTCTCCGAAAATTCCAGCTTGTCAAAGCATCCTTGATAGTGTGTGGTGTGACCCATTGCAGACCAAAAATAGGCAGAAAAGAATTCCAGATATTCTGTTGCAAATGGGCAGTGTAGTAGGAGATGACTGACTCTCTCCGAGTCCTATAGCCACATATAACATCTGTTGACTATGACAATGTTTTTTCATTTGAGATTGTCCTGGGTAAGAGTTACTCCATTTAGGTCCAGGTGAGGCAGGTGACCTTTAGTGAAAACAATCGACATGACTCTACATCATTTTCTTAGAGCGTTGATTCTCCAATAGAGGTTCTTATTCCTTTATCCTTTAAAAATTGGCTGCGTCTTCTTTGTCTTTGTACTAATTTTCTTGTGTGACAAAGATATTCTTTTTTTTTAAGATGGTGGTGTCCGGGCCAATTTGTACGCATCTCGACTATTCTACTAGGTGCTTGCTATCTCCCACCAGCACATGTAGAGGGTAACTCTGCCATCAAAGCTTAGATGGATGAGAAGAAATCACCTAGTGTTATTTTGCTAGGCTTCTTACATAAATGTACCATCAACCAATTCTTTTTTCCAACTAAATGGCCACATGTATATGTAATGTATCGATATTGTATAAATAGTGTATAACCATGCATATATGATGTATAGCTATGTATAAGAGATCATAAGGGGATTGGCGAAGTCAACAAATCCTGATGGTTGCTCCATATACACCTCTTCTGCAAGTTCTCTGTGAAGGAATGCATTTTTTATGTCTAGCTGGAAAAGGGGGCAATGTTTCATTGCTGCCATATAGATGAGAAGATGGACAAAAGCCATCTTGGCAACTGGTGAAAAAGTATCTCCATAGTCAATGCCATAAATTAGAGTGTATCCCTTAGCAGTTGTGTCTCACTTTGAGACAATCAATAGCTCCATCTGAACCTACCTTAACTTTGAATACCCAGTGACAACCAACAAGAGTTTTGCCTTTGAGTAATGGAACAAGCTCCCAAGTACCATTATCATGCAAAGCAGTCATTCCCTCAATCATAACGTGATGCCAACCTGGATGAACCAATGCTTCTGCGACAATCTTGAGAACTTTGACAGTGGATAAGCTAATAATGAAGGCTTGATATGAAGGTGACAAGCGATGATAGTTTAAATAAGTATAAATGGGGGCTTGATTGATAGTAGTTCTAGTACCTGTGTGAAGAGCAATGGGAAGATCATTTGATGAGTGCTTGACCGAAGCAGGAGACATTGTTGGAGTAGGTAATGAGTCACCAAGAGTGCTTTGTTTACCTGTATTAGAGTTAGAAATACTAACTGGATTAGCAAGCTCAAGGAGGTTGAGGTCGTCGGGAATATACCTTAAGAGACAGAGGTGAAGCGGGGGATGGAATAGTTGGAACTGGAAGGACCGTTGATATAGTCTTTTTATTTTCCGTATGAGGAGAAAAATATGGAGAAGACTCGAAAAAAGTAACATATGCAGAGATCAAATACTTATTAGTAGTAGAGGGGTCAAAGCATTTGTATGCTTTTTGTAGGCAAGAATAAACGAGAAAGACACATTTAAAAGGCTTGTGCTGAAAGTTTATCTTTTCCGGGGGTAAGGTTATTAACCAAACATGTGCAACCAAACACACTTAGAGGAAGGGGGAATGAATTTTGGTCCGGATAGAAGATTGAGTGTGGATTCTTGTACTGCAAAACAAAAGAAGGCATATGATTGCTTCAATAACAGGCAATAACAATGGCATCACCCCAAAAACGTACAGGGACATGATTGTGAATAAGCAATGTCTGAGCTATTTCAATTAGATGTTTGTTCTTACACTCAACAAGTCCATTTTGTTGAGGAGTATGTGCACAAGAAGTCAAGTGCAATATGCTCTGGTGCTCTGGGATGACATAAAAGAAGAGAGAAATGGAGAAATATTCTCGAGCATTATCGTTGATTAACTTGTTAATGGCAATACCAAATTGATTGCAAATTTCAACACAATATTTTTGAAAGATTTAGAAAATAACTCATATTTATTTTTTATTAAAAATAACCATGTGCATAGAGAATAATCATCAATAAAAGTCACAAAATAATGAAAGCCTAAGGAAGAACTGACATAGCTTGGACCCCATATGTCTGAATGAACAATTTCAAATGTAGAGGTGGCCTTATTATTGACGCGCTTTGGGAAAAAGGCACGAGTGTGCTTCCCAAGCTGACACGACTCACATTCTAACAAAGATAAACTAGATAAATTTGGAACCATTTTCTGCATTTTCGAGAGACTCAGATGACTTTTTTTTTTTTTTTTTTGAGAAAGTTAACATTTTATAGACAACAATACACCAATGGTGTATTTCAGTAGTAATTACAACAGGAGTATACAGTAAGAAAAACCAAAAGATCTATCATTTATACCCCTCCTAAACTATCTAAAAAGTCAGTAATAGCCTCCATCACTTTGGGGAGGACATGATTACACCAAAAATAAAGGGTTATAAGACAATTCAACTTCAAACTCTGGAAAGGGATGCTCTTATTTTCGAAGCATCTCTGGTTCCTTTCCTTCCAAATTGTCCACCAGATGCAAGCAGGGACAATCTTCCATCTCTCCTTGTGACCTGATGTATTCCCTTCTCTATTCCAGCATGCTAGAAAATCTGAGGTGTGTCTTGGCATGGACCAGCTGATTCCCCTCAAATTCAAAAAGACCTGCCACAGTCACTCTGCAATGGAGGAAGAGATGGTTTGTTGTCTCTGTTTCTATTTCACAAAAAAAGCACCTGGAGCATAACTGTCTTCCCCTTTTCATTAGATTGTCCTGAGTTAGTACTGCTTCCCTAGCTACCAACCAGGTGAAACAAGCCACCTTGTGAGGTACATTAATTTTCCATATCATCCTAATTTGTCTATTTCCCAGTCATTCAACCTTCTCCTAAAAGATAGGTTGCATCCTTGGTTGTCTTTGACTTCTGCTACTGTTGCTTCCTTCTGTTGGTTCAGATTATAAATCTCAGGATGCAACTGTTTCAGAGAGTGTTGTCCAACCCACACATCATTCCAGAAGAATGTCTTCCTTCCATTTCCTATATCAATTTTTGAATTTCTCCATATTTTAGGCCACAAATTTCTGATTGTTCTCCATAAACCAACCCCATAAGGGCTTCTAACTTCCTTTGTAGTCCAAGAGTCCTCCATTGCATATCTGGAGATTATAACATCTTTCCACAGACCTTGTTCTACAGAAGCAAACCTCCACAACCACTTCAAAAGGAGACTCTGGTTTTGGACTTTGAGATTCTTTATGCCCATTCCCCCTTCTTTTTTGTTGTTTATCACCACTTCCCATTTCACCAAGTGATATTTATTTCCCCCCTCTCCGTTTCCTTGCCATAAGAAGTTTCTGCTGATGGATTCTAACTTCTTTAAAACACTCCCTGGCATAGGGAATAAAGACATCATGTAGGTTGGCATAGCATCAAGCACACTATTAATTAGTGTCAATCTTCCACCTAAGGATAGGTATTGACTTCTCCAATTTACCAGCTTTTTTTCACACTTCTCCACCATTGCACTCCATATGTTCTTTGATTTACTGTTTGCACCTAGAGGCATCCCTAGGTAAGTGGTAGGCATTTCTCCCACTTTACGTCCTAAGATGCCAGCCAATCTGTTGATTTCTGGGACTTCATTCACTGGGTAAACAAAACTTTTACTCCAGTTTATATGAAGTCCAGAAACAGCTTCAAACAATATAAATATGATTCTTAGATGCTTTAGTTGATCTTCCTCTGTACCACAAAACACTAGGGTGTCATCTGCGTACTGCGTACTGCAAATGGGAGATAGATAAACCCCTTGGGTCACTATCATTCGTCCAGAAACCTCTGATCATGTTGTTTGATTGTGCTGTTTTCAACATGTCACTTAGTCCTCCCATAGCTAAGATAACAAGGAAGGGGGAGAGGGGATCCCCTTGCCTTAATCCTCTTTCAGAGGGAAAGAAACCAGATGGGGAACCATTTATTAGAACTGAGAATTTGACTGTTCTCACACAATACTTAAACCAATTTATCCACCTATTTCCAAAGCCTATCCTCTCTAGTGTGTACCACATAAAGTCCCAGTTGAGGTGATCATAGGCCTTTTCTATGTCCAACTTACATAGAATCCCAGGAATTTTTAGTTATTTTCCTCACATCTACACATTCATTGGCTATAAGTATGGCATCCATGATTTGCCTGCCCTTAATGAATGCCAATTGATGTGTATCCACCAGCTTAGACATCACTTTCTTGAGTCTTTCTGTTAGGACCTCGGATATGATCTTGTAGACACTGCCAATCAGGCTGATGGGCCTGAAGTCCTTCAATTCTGTTGCCCCCATATTTTTTGGGATCAAGGCTATAAATGTAGCATTGAAACTCTTTTCAAAATAGCCTTGACTATGAAAGTTCTGAATGGCTGCTATCACCTCTACCTTCACCACATCCCAACAATGTATGAAAAAAGCCATGGTAAAACCATCTGGACCAGGAGCCTTATCTCCTGCACAATCAAAAACACATTCTTTAATTTCTTGTTCTCCAAATTGACTTTGAAGAAGGAGGTTGTCTTCTTCATTGAGCACAACTTGTTCTCTGGGGCAGAATTGGGGTCTCCAGTGTGAATATCTTACTTCCTGGGGCTAACTCTATTCCTGACATTTTCCAATACAATACTAATGATTTATCTATATTTCTATCGTTTATTGCTACTGAATAATTAGCACTTATTATAAATTTAAATTTTTGGTATATTAGATTTCCTTTAGGATGGCATGCTGATCATAATTCTAGTATATAATAACTAATATAAATTTATTCTATCATGTCTATGATATTCAGGAATTAATAGATTTAGCTATGCATAATTATGAATATATGTACCTGTGTAGTATCTGCAATGTTTTGATCCATGGCTTAACTTGAAATTTAGTTTTTTATTGAGAGAATATTTTTGTTACAAAGAGGCTTTGCTTTCCGTGTAGAAAGTCTTGCCTATCTATGCCATAATGGCTATCTATTTATACAAATATAAGTAACCCTACTATGGTTACTTTAATCTATACTATAGTTACTTTACATCTTTACATTATTCTCTTTTGTACATATTACTCACTAATATATTACTAATCTAACACGTTGCTACTACTACTTTACCTAAAGTCTTCCACTATCTAAAGTCTTCCACTATCTTTACTTTACATAAAGTCTTTCCATTATCTTTTCTATTCCACTTAGCTTATTCCACTTAGCTTGTCCGTAGCTTTTTTCTTTTATTTTGTCGGCCTCTTCACTCTAGGTTGACAGCTGGAATTACATTATCTTCACCTTGGCATTTAGAACATTGGTGATCCGGATATTTGTGTCCAATAGTTTTACAATATCTTGTCATTATTTCTGATGAGATAAAGTTCATTCTCTCTATAAAGGTTTGGTAGAAACCTGTGATCTCCTCCCTAATTGTTGTTGAGTCTGTGGCATAGTTCCATTAATCAGAAGACTGTCAATGTTGTTGTATCTCTTGCGACTGTTTACTGTTCTGTGGAAAAACTTTGTGTTTTTGTCACCCTCTTTCAACCATATAGCCCTGGATCTTTGCCTCCATGCTACTTCTTCTCTTTTTGCCACTTCCTCAAACTATACTGACAGGACAGCCCGCAGATATGATTCATTTTCAGACAAGCACCTTTGTTCCTGTATCATATCTAACTCATAAAGCTGATTTAAGATGTTCTGTTTCTGTAAACCTAGATTACCTTGTACTTAGTTGATTATGGAGCAATTCAGAGGAAGTAGCAGAAGTGAAAGCAACATGTGATTGTGGGATGGATAGCAAGTACAATCCCTGTGACTCATGTCCTTTTCCAATTATCTGTCCTGTACTTCGGTCCTGCATAAGAACAGAATCACCAAGGTTGATTACAACACATTTCCGGTTTTTGGTTAATTTGCTGATGGAAAGAAGATTATATGGACATGCAGGTGCAAAAAAGGCTGATTTTAAAGGTATGGAAGGCAGAGGGTGAGCTATACCTATCCCTTCTAGAATAATCTTTGATCCATCAGTCAAAGTAACAGTAGAGTGGATAAGGGGTAATAAGAGTAGAGAGATAATTTTTGTTCCCAGAAATATGGTCAGAAGCACCAACAAGAATACATTGTTCCTGAGATGAAGACTATGCGACATAAGCAAAGGAGTTACTGGGTTGCATTGTGCAAGCAACTGATGAAGTTGATGACTGTTGCCTTCATGCTTGGTACTGAAGGTAGTCATTATAGTTTGCTCCAGTTAATGTGATAGATTGAGATGATCCATCCCTAACATCAGGTGTGGGCAAAATATCGTCTCCATTATAAGCCACATTTGTTGCATATCAAAGGGCGGTCATTATTGCGTGGAGGCATTATTTATCACCAAAAAGATATAGAAACCAGCAGTAGCAGAGTAGAACAAAACTGACAGATTTTTTTTGTTTCTTTGATTCTGTTTTGCAGAATCTGTTTTTGGAGAAAAAGAAGGAAATTAGAGAAATGAGGGCTCTGATATGATGACAAATAAAAAGGAGAATAGAATAGAATTTGGGAATTAGTGTCTTGATTATTCTTTCAAGTTAGTGGGATTAATTAGTGTTACAAAGAATGTAAATAAAGGAAGGAAACTAATAAGAATATTACATAATCTCCTAATTGCCTAATTATAGGGATTGATGATATTCTCACATCTACACTGTCTAATAGGATACCATATTTAACACAATTAATTTGGTACCTAATATAGAGCAGCTGATACAAATTCTGGGTATAGTAGGTGACCTGCCTTCAGTATACCTCGGCATGCCTTTGGAAGCAAAATCAAGGTCCATAGAAATCTGGAATGTAGTTCAGGAGAAGTGTAAATATGGGTTTTGGATAAGTGGGTCTCTCAAGAAGTTACCACCCTGTATAGAGTTGGTCTCTGGAGAACCATTAGATCCTACTGGCCTTCTCTGAATAGTAAAACTGATATAAAGGTATTCAATGTAACAAAACACTTCTCTGGACAGACAGGTGGATGAGTTCTACTCGCTAAAGGCTTTTTTCTCAGATATTTTTACCCTGGCCCAACAACAGAGAAAGACAGTGGCTGAGATGTGGAATCATCAGAGTTGGGATTTATGACTCAGAAGACCTTTGAATGATTGAGAGGTTTTTGGATTGATTGAATTATACAAGTTTTTGGAGACAATTCAAGGATGAAGAAATGGAGGGGACTGCTTATGGTGGAAGGGACATGGCAAAGGTGTGTACAAGGTGAGGGATGGGTATAAGATCTTAAACCAGATTGAGCCACAAAATACCAACTGGCCATGAAAGCATATTTGGAAAATCTAAGTATCTCATAAAGTAGCATGTTTTACTTGACTTTTAGCCTATGAGGCTGTTCTTACTCTTGATAATGTTGCGAATAGAGGGATATCTCTTTGCTCAAGATGTTTTTCATGTGGAAGGGATGTTAAGACAATCAGCCACCTGCTTCTAATCCTGTTTAATCTTTTGACCGTCAGTCCATCTTAATGTTTACATCTCTGCAACACTTATCTTGTGAATATGTTAGGCTTTGTCAGCCCAACATTTACCATCATATGTATTTTTTGAAGACTTGTATCCGATGATATTTCGCTGTAACCTTCTTTGTCAGCCCAACATTTACCATAAGACAATAAATTTGGTGTTGTACTTTTTTGTTTCTTGGAATGGAGTATAGCCAAGAAGCATCTCAGTACGTTAATTCCTCTCACCAAATGCAAACCAAAAACGAATTTCGGATGTTGTAGGCAGGAAAACATTTTTCAGAAAATATTTTCCATTTCCCCATGCTTGGTTGATCAAAATATTTTGGGATTTTCTTTTAAAAACACAAGTTCCTTAAAAATGAGGACAACAATTTCTCTAATGGAAGTAGGGATAACAAGTTCCGTAAGTGACATTACAAGTTCATTGTCTTCTAATTTAATTTGGTGTTGGTACTTCTTTGTTTCAAGTATAGCCAAGAAGCATCTCTGTATGTTCCTTCCTCCCACCAAATGTCAAGCCAAAAGCAAATTTAGGGTGTGGTAGGGAGGAAAACATTTTCCATTTCCCCATGTTCAGAACTGTTCTGGAATTTTTTTTTTCTAGCAAAACAAGTTCCTTAAAAATGAGGAAAATGACCTCTTCTCATTCTCTGCCCCATCTCACCCCCATAGTGTTTTGCTAGCTTACATATAATAACTCTTGGGATAACTGTTTTTGCTTACTTTCTGAACACAAGAAAATAAGTATAAAGTTTCTAAGAAATATTTTCTAGGAAACCATTTTTAGTTGTGTACCATACACACTTAGTTTCCATTCCCAACTAGGAGTCTCATATATGTTGAGAAGTCAGATACCCTTTCATTATTCCTTTCCACACACAAAACCCATGAGTTTCTTAACTTTTTAGTGAACCAACCATTTTCCTTTCTTCCATACTTAAGTGCAATCACCTCTCTCAATAAAGCCTCTCCCTCATTCTTAAACATCAAAAATTACTTCCGAAGGAGAGGTCTGTTCAATTTAGAAATGTTTCGGACTCTGACCTTCCTTAAAAGGAGTCACCACGTTCTTTCGTTCATATTTCCTTTCCCACTACTCCATAACATAGGAAACCTCTAATCTTACTTCCCTGATCTTCTGATGAGAGGATAGAATAGGGAACAAGGATATGTAGTACGCAAAGATGCTACAGAGAGTAGACTTGATAATGATAATTTCCTCACTTTTAAGATTTGTTGTGTAATATATAGCATCCAAAACCGGGATTTCTGCCTTTTTTTATACCATTTTGTGTTTCATCTTCACTTGGATTTTTTTTGGGTGGCAGCACAGCATTCCTCATAGGGCCTAAACGACAAGTGACAATGATGCTTGACCCAGTTCGTATATATGCCACTGCCATTTATATAGCAAGCATTATCATTGCTCTGTTTTGTGCTCTATATGTGAGTTACTGTATCAGTAACATTTTTTAGTTTCCTCATTTTGGGTTTCGACAAACTTTGCATTCTGTGTCTCATCTACATTTTGCTTGCATCAGGTGCGGAACAAGCTACTGACACTGCTGTCAATTATATTGGAGTTTGGTGCACTTATCTGGTATGTCAGACTGTAGTCATTCTAGTTCAATCTTGAATAAACATTTTGCGTTAATAATTTTGAGAATTTGAATAAACTAGTATGTTGAGAAGTTGTATATATAATTTTATTGATGAACATGTAACCTTGTGTGTAGCACGCTGGTAATAATCTTTTTTTTTTTTTTTGATGACAAGAGAAACCCGCAGCCGCTACCCTTTGGGTGCGCACAGGGTAAAACTCCCGCTCCTATGCAATAGCTCGCAAACCACATATGAGAGGTAACCTGCACTAGGCAAACCTGGTGCGACGAGCTCGACCCAGAAGGCAAACCCCTTGCTTTCGCTAGCAAGGGGTTTCGAACTTGAGACCTCCAACATGAAAGTACCAAGCCCAAACTATTGGGCCACCCCGAAGGGTGGTAATAATCTCTTATTTAGCAACTTTTGCATTTGGGTCAAACTTAGGGCAGATAGGAGCATTAGCTTAAAAATAAAAAGCTTTGCCCTTATTCTGGATTTGCATCTACTCGACTTTGTTATCTTTCTAAGATTGTCAAATTGTAAATATAATTTCTTTATACTTGAAAGTTGATGCTCTTTTGTTGCATTACAGGTATAGTTTGAGTTACATTCCTTTTGCAAGGTCCATGGTCTCCAAAGTGATGATGGCTTGCTTTGATACAGAATTCTAGGGTTGTATTACCCTGAGGGAAGAATTATACATGCAAATATGTACCGTGTACATTTGGCAAGTTTGCACCACTTGCAACAGCCAGCAGGTGTTTTAATCCATAGAAGGGGGGTTAGGTGAGTGCACCTTTGGTCAAATGAAGGTCTTTTGATTGAAATGTGTTGTTTATTAAACGAGTTAACTTCTGATCCTATGTAACACCTAAATTTTTCATCTTCAAAGTAAATGGATGTAATGACCCGGACTCGTAAGGTCATTTTTGATAATTTTGAATAGTCATTATCTATAATTAATTAATTTGCGGGTAATTTGTTTATTATTAAAAATAATGGACCAAGTCTGAATTATTAAAATAGGTTTGTAGGAATTATTACTTTTAATATATATTAAATTTAGAAAAAAAGAAAGAAAGAGGCGGAAGAAAAACTAACCTAGACGTGCGACAGAAAGCAAAGAAGCAGGAAAATTCGAGTGGTTCAGGTTAGTTCTAATCAAGATTCTTTGTAAAATTGTGTATATATCTTAGGGTGATATTATTGTTAAGGGATATGGTTGGAATTTGTGGTTTTTAAAAGAAAAGAGACAAAATATTGTCAGTACGTTGTTGGGGTTGAACAAAAGGGAAATTTGAATTGAAACTAAGGTGGGTGTAATTGTTATTAATGGAATTATGTACTCATTGTCATGAATGGATAAGTTGTTGGGTTTGTCGTATGCTTTTCATGGTTCTGCCATGAATTTGCGTGACCAGTAGATTTCATAGTTAGTTGTTCCTATTTTAAATATTATATTATAAATTAAATATTTAATATATTGAGATAGGTAATTAACTATTGGGTTATCGAATTATATGAATATCATTAGACTTGTGATATTGGAGAAGTTGAAGCTTAACCCTAGACTTGAAACTTAGAAACTTGATTATGAATTGGGTGAATTGTTGGTTCAAGGCTAAACACATAGTAATGTGGGTGTTGTTAATTTCAAAATCTTATTGTGGTAATTTGTTTGGATAGATTGTATTGATTTGGAGCCCAATGAAAGAGGGAGACTCAAGTCCCAGAGTGATTGTTAGACTATTTGAGGCAAGTGGATTTCTAAACCCTTGTTAAGTGTATGGAATTCGTGTATTTCCTTGTAATATGTGTTTGGGGGTAATGAGACGTGGTGATGGGTTGACTTGTCCACGTTGATTAATTCTAATAATGAAAAAAGGGTAATAAAAGGCAATGTGATTAATTGTTTGTGTGTGATGTGTTGAGAATTATTGGTGACGGGCATTGGTACAAGTACCGATGTTATAAAGGGAAAGTTTATTACTATAGAATGCGGATTGTAAT